TCCATTTGACAAAAAGGCCACCCTAGAAAAGCCCATCCTGAGCCCAAATGGACTAAATGGCGAGTGAAGTGGCGCATTTGTTCTTGTGAGTTCAATCTGGAACCAACACCACTCCGGCTGCTAAATTCTGTAGTACATGATTTTTCTAGTCCCTGGGTCGGGTCTGAATTTGTCCTGCCTCCTTTAGCTTTCTGTATTTGATATTGTTTCTTATTCTCTAGACAATCCAAATTTATGCCTTTTCTATTATATATCGTGAACGACGATTTGCTGCTGTGATCTAGGGATGTTCTAGAGGCTCTCTTGTGTAAACAGTGTATCGGATCTTGTGGTTAAGGAATAGATATTCATAGCTCGTTTCTTATCACAAAGGTTCTCAATCTAACATAGTCAACTTCTTTGTGCAAAGGGAATGGCCATAAATATCTAGTTGGGAGGGCACCATGGGAGATGCCTAAAACTTCTGTTATCTGGGTGATCGCGTTAGCAGAGGCGCCAGACGGGAAAAACCACTCTTCAACTTTGATTTGTCTTGTTTAAGGAGAGATTTGTTCAGAGTCCACGCTTGTTTTTAAACTCATCTTCGCTTTTGCATTGAGGAGGAGAATGTGTTTGTCACTATACAAGTCCCACTTTTGATGACATGAAACAGATAAATATCTTGTTATCTTTGCTTTGCTTAGTTGATATTTTACTGGATTGTTTCATTCTTAGTAAAACAGATCGTATCTTTTAACTGGACTGCAAACTAATGAGATACTAAAACAATTTACAATGCAAAAGCCACTCAATTAGCATAAACAATCTTATTACAACACAGAGTTATAGAGTAACCAGAAAACATACTAAACGATAAGAAAAAAAGCTACAAAGAAACCTAAGGAAGCTGAACCAAATGCCGAGGGAATGGCTCCTGAATGCGGTCTAAATCCTGGCCCCCCGAAGAAAAAATGTGTCTTCTGTATATAGATCTTTGACATCGTAATATGCAGGATTGGTTACCAGTCTCTTCAACTCTTGAACTGGCTGGAGACTGTTGTTGATATCTACAGTTTCCAGGTTGCAGAAATAACTGCTTTTCCCAAAGCCTTCTTCGGGGAAGTGGCCGGACCCCATCTGGGTCGTCGTGTGTCGGCCAAAACGCTGCCAGTTAACAACTTCACCGCCCCATTGTACGACGCTTGCGTGATCAGCCAATGTCGTAAAGATCTCCGCTGGCCAGTAGCCCACCAATTCGTTGTTGGACCCTAGACTTAGCCACCAGTTACCATATTCTCGATCCTGTAATTCATTTATCAATTAGTTAGAAAATCGATAATGTACAGTATATAAGAACAAATAGAAAATACAGAAAATAAATAGATTACCAACCTTCCATACTTGGATGGCTATCTCAAATTGGCTTCCTCCGTAGGAAGAAACAGGAGAAATGGAGCCTCCGACGACAATACTACTACTCGTCTGGACAAAACCTGCGCATCGGACGTTATAACATCCGGTTCTGTATGCATTACTCTGAAAAAATAAACATTATTGCTATTAGCAAACAAAAATTAATTCAAAATCTTGTTAAAGAGCAAACATTTAAAATTCACCAAAAATCCAAGTTTTTTTATTTTGTTATATATATATATATTTTCAAAAAAATATTGATTCCAAAACTTAAGAGTGTGATTGATAAGAGTCGTAGATAATTCAAATTTTGTTTGCAATTTGGATCCTAAGATTATATTTCAAATTCAAGTATGGCCAAAACCTTGAATGGATGTAGATTTTAAAGTTGTTTTTGGTTTTAGTTTTTACAAAAAATCTACTTTATACCCAATCAAGATTATGAAAAAAATGGATTTCCTAAAAAATAGAAAATCTAAAATCTATGTTTTGTGGATTTCTCACTTTTTACGTGATTTGACTTTTTCTTTCCATTTTTTATTTTTTTTAATTTTTTCTTAATACAAAAATCTAAAAACCATAAACCAAAATCCAAAATCCATAAACCAAAAACTATAATCCAAAAACCATTTAAAACTTGCAAATATTCATGGCCTGAGTGTTTTGTAGAGAGTCCATTTACAGTTATACTAGCATTTAATTAACTAGTCTTTTATTTAGCAAACAAAACTAGTTTTTTATTTAAAAGTTTTAGTTTTGCTCCCTTTTAAAGTAGGTAATGAATAGCTGCCAAAAAGGTAGGTATGGTAATATAGTATTACGCTGAAGTATTTAACTTTGAAATTCAGATTAACAATAATAAAATTTATATAATTTCAGATTATTAAAAATAATGTATGCTTTGCACCGTAAAACATATGAGTTAAATTGATAATGAACAAAAATAAACCGTTACCGTCCAGAAAAGGAATAGCCTAGGCTTGGTGTCGTTATACAACTGCGGCAGAACCTACATATTTGAATCATAAAAATAAATTAACATGTTAGTCGTTTATAATCACATATATATAGTTTAAATTAAAATTCAGAAACTAATAACTTCATAATTCAGATGTATATATTCCCCTATAAACTTACTTGCCAGCCAGCTTCAATGGTGTTAAGATCACCACTTTTGTATTCTCCCGACGCAAGCCAAATTTGCGATATAGACATCTCTTCTGCTCCTTTTTCTAACTCTGGATCCCACACGTTCACTATCGCTTTCGTTCCGTAGAATTTTGGTGTGGTTTGAGGTTTCCAAACTTTCCATAGTACTTATTATCGCATACTGTCATATTCAAACAGAATACACAGTAATTAATACGATAGAAAACTAGACATGCTTTCTGATCAGTCTCGACTGTAATAATTTAGTCTTGTAAAACTTTCTCACTTTTGTATAATAAGAAACAAACTAACAAAGAGATAGAAAGACATAACAATCGAGTTAGTTAGAGATGTTAATATGCGTAAACCCAACTCATTTAGACCCATCCCATTTAAAATTCACCCCATTTACTGTAAAGTGTAAACCCATATAACCCCATTTAAGTTTACAACCCATTTATTTCAACCCATTTAAGTTTCATTGACTCATTTAAACTCATTTAGACCAATATAACATTGTTTTGTTTAAACCAATAATATAATCAATAATTATTTAATTGATTATTTAAAATTTATAAATTATTTTATTTAAATCAATTGATAAATAATGATATAATTGTACTTAATTTATTGCTGAAAAATAATATTGTTTTGAGAAAAAGCAATTTTGCGATTTTGACGGGAAAACTTGGGTTTACGGTTTTGGCGGGAAAACACGGGTTTGCAATTTTGGCGAAAAAACACGATTTTACGACTTTAGCGGGAAAACACGGATTTACGGTTTTGGCGGGAAAACACGGTTTTACGATTTTGGCGGGAAAACATGGATTTACGGTTTTGGCGGGAAAACACGGGTTTGCGACTTTGGCGGAAAACACGATTTTACGATTTTGGCAAAAAAACATGGATTTACGGGTTTGGCGGGAAAACACGATTTTACGAATTTTCGCGGGAAAATACGGTTTTGCAATTTTGGCGGAAAAATATAGTTTTGCATTTTGGCATAAAAACACGAGTTTACAGTTTTGGCGGGAAAACACGGGTTTACGGTTTTGGCGGGAAACGCTATTTTGTGGTGATAATACGTAATTTTTTGATTTTGACGGGAAAACACGGTTTTAAGATTTAGACGGAAAAGCGCGGTTTTACATATTTTTAAAAAATTATTTAAATCAAAAATTAAATCTAAGTATAATAATTTAGTTTTAATGTATTTAATATATTACTCTTTTATTTTAGTTATTAAGGGACTAATATTTTTTAATAAAGACAACTATGGATTTAAATGGTACCCATTTATTTGTGTGATACCCCATTTAATAAATGTGTTTAATTGGGGTAACCCATTTAACCCCATTTAATATTTTTCCTTAAATGGGTTTATTTTTTTTATACAAACCCATTTATTAAATGGGGTTCCATGCCCAAGTTAACATACTAGAGTTAGTAATATTAGAAATTTAAAATATTAGATGATTAGTAAATAAACATAGAACACAAAGTTGAACCAGTTTAAAATGGTGCGTAACAATCAAGCTAGTAAATGTTTAGTTTGATTGTAAATTTTAAAAACATTATTGGGACTTTGGTTTTCATTATGTTTAAGCCGACAATGAAAACATATATGAGTGGACTCTCGATTTTAATTTCGGTTTGGTTTCAGTTTTAGTTCGAGATTAACCATATATACTAGAGGTGTCAGACGGGCCGGCCTGCGTCCATCTGGGCCGGCCCACGATAAGCATTTAAGTTTGTAAGACCGCGACGGACCGGCCCGCTAGGACCGCGGACAAAAATGATATGTCCAGGCCCGCCCCGCGGGCTTAGTTTTAATATTTTAAAAATAATTAAAAAATAAAAATAATCATTAAAATTTGAAATTAACAATTTTTCAATTAAAAAAAATTTTAGTATTAATTTTTTTGTAAATCTTATAATTTTATACAATAAATTTCATTATATGTTCATATATTTCACATTTATATTTTCAGAATTATGTAAAAGTATTTATTTATTTATATTAATTATTTATTTTTATTAAATATTTGTCGTCTGCGGGCCGGCCAGCAAATTCGCGGACAAAACCCGTAAAAACCTGCAATCTGCATGGGCTTGTCCGCGAAACCCGCTATTTTATGGAAATAAAATATGATGTCCAAGCCTGCCCCGCCGTGGGCTACATGGACAAAGCCCGCAGGCTATCGGCCCGCTTGACACCTTTAATATATTCTACTGTCATCAGTATATTATATAGTATTTGTATTTATACTCATTAAATAGTTTTACGTTTATAGATATATCTGTATAAACTGAACAAGAATCGTTCATACACGACGTGTCGACGTGACTCCTTTTTTTTTTGTCACAACATCAGTTTAGTTAGTTACTTGGCCTATGACCCATTGATGGTTACTGGGCTAGTAAACCAAATAGAAGCGTTTAGTAAAATAGATTTATGGTGATTGGTGAATATATTGCAAAAGATCGCAAGAATCAAAATGAATAGTTTTTATTATTATTATTATTCAAAATGAATAGTTAAGAAGATATTATTTGCTTACATAGTTAGTAAGTTAATTAAAGGGGTTTATTTGTTAAGATGATATGAATATACTGTAATAGATTTCGGGTGAACATATTGGCAAAGTTATTGCCTGCTAATTAAATGTGTTTCAAATCTTCACCAAAAAAAAACATTAAATATGTTTCAAATTAATACCTCATGCCCACCCTGGTAACTAGAACTGTCAGGTTGCTTCCGATGATTTACAGTGGCGTTGTTAGACCGTATAGGTACGGTCCCATGGGGACATTTGGCAAAGCTGATATGCGATTCCAATGTTTGTTTTCTTTTGCCCTTTTGAATCGTTTTGATCCCTTTAGGGAATTCTGATGGCATTTCCTGTAAAAAAATTAAGGAAAATAAATAATATTAGTTTCAGTAAAAATGTATTAACGTGGAAATATATAGTAATTTGATTATCTAGAGAAAATATTTAAAAATAAATTTATTTGAAAAATAACAATTAAAATACCTGAAACTTATGATTCTTTAAAAGGGGATTGTCAAACGCTGGTTGCTTCATTTTATCGTAACAATCGACATCCTCGCCCTCTGAACTCTGTTCAATAGAAAGATAGATAAATATGTTAGTATACTTTCAAAAATCAGTAAGTTACACGGAAGGTAAATAAAACATGACAACATGTTGCACTCGGTTTAATATTCAGGTTGAAGCTATGGGTTCTAACATGGGCTAACCAAACTAATCATGTGCTTGTGGGCTCATTTTAAACTGGGCCTAAGCTAGTTTATCAGTGTATGTTTTTAGCATGAACTTGGTCTATCCTCAAATATTTTCTTTATCGAAAAAGGGATATTAAAGAGACAAAGACTGATTTTGTATCCATATATCTTTTATTTACTTGGTATGATTCAATAATGTGTTTTGGGATCAGTTACAGAGTTGTTTTATTTACTCTTCCTTTAATTGTAATTTATAAATCAAAACAGATAAATATCTCATGTTTCTAATTTGGATGAAAGAAAAGAAGTTTGGTTTTAAAGTTCATAGTTTCAAAAGAAACAAAATAAAATTTAAAACTATTTCTGTTGAAGCAGTACACAACCCTAAACATAATTAATTGATATATTAATATAATTAACCATAAATATACTTAATATCTACCTGAATGGTGAGGGCATTATTGCTCGCAAGCAGAGCAAATGTGAGTGCAGATGCAAGGAGAAACACCTGAAGAAACTACATAACAGAAAATATTAATTAAACCGTATTAGTCAACGAACCAGTTAATTAAAGAGATAGCACCACAGCCTACCAAAAAAAAAAAGAGATAGCACCAAAAATAAAACATTCGGTCCGGAAACTATCTAAGATGTATTTTGTAGATCTTGTTATTTATTTGTATTTTCTTGTTTCAAATTTACAAATTAAACATCGAATATACATTTGTTTTGCTTTTTTATCCTCTAACTTATACGGTTGATTGGTTTTTCTAAAATTTATGAATTAACGCGACAATCTCAATCCGTAAACGAATTAACGAAATTGAAGAACACGTTCGATACAAACCCTAGTCTACTCACTTGCATAACTCAATTTTCCTCTATTCTGATCCTCAAAAATTTCGACTAAACATACCTTATAGATCTCGCAATTGGAGAAGAGAAGCATCATGAAATCGATCGATCAAACTAGGATTTGAATGTAAAACCCTGATATGAAGTATACGACCGATGGATTTCAAAGGAATCGACGAGAAAATTTTACAAGTCGAATCTAACTAACTGCAGCTGTACTCGCTCTCTCTCTCTCTCTCTCTTTCCAAGTGCACTAACTCATTTGACCATTGTTCTGAAAAGCAAACAAAATTATTGGTCTCTCCTCTTGTTATCTGTTTTTTTTTTGGGTCTCTCCTACTTTTGATCTTAGGTAATCTCAAACTTAAAACCAATTCGTCGTCTCTTTTGAGTCTCAAGGATTTTCTGGAAGGCTCGTTTGGTAAGTTTTGGATTTTGCTTGGGTTTGGAATCTTTGTTTGGGTGAGAAGGAAGTGTTGCCTAAAACACACACACTCTCTCTTTATCTCTCAAATTAAGTTTCAAGCCTTTTAGGGCAAAGTAGTGGTGGGTGGATATTTCAGTATAAAGGATTAACAATCTCTTTAACAGGTAAGAAAAAGTATAATGTTAATTGAAAGATCACATTTACACACAAAAGAAAACACGAAATATGAAAATCTACTGCATCAACAATTGGTCTGTATGTATGATATTTTAAGAAAATTCACGTTTCATCTTTTTTTTTTTTTTGGAGTTAATTTAAGAAGAAACCCATGCGAGGAAGACGACATAAACTGTCTATGACTCTCTCTCTCTCTCTCCCCTTTCTCTTCCGTTAATTTCTTACACGGTGGCTCTCTCTTTTTCCAGTTTAGATCGAAAGATTCCTTACCTCAATTAAGTATCTACAGTCCTTTTAGGGCAAATTAGTTGTGTCAGTGTGTGTATAGGTATTTTTTTTTTGGTTTTAAGTGTGTAACTA